TAAGTGTGTGCGTAGGAGATTTATTGAAACCATTGAATTCAGAATATGGTAAAGTAGCTCCTAGATGGGGAACGACTCCTTTGATGGGTGTTGCAATGGCTCTATTTGTAGTATTCCTATCCATTATTTTGGAGATTTATAATTCTTCCGTTTTACTTGACGGAATTTCAATGAATTAGACTCACAAGAACCACGAAGTCCTAGCCTTTTCAATACAAAAAGTGAAGTGAAGCATTCAGGTCTCGGATTTTTAGCCTATTCTGTTTTGGTAGTGAAGCATTTATCTTTATTATGTGTACTGCTCATTTTTCTTACTGAGTCTGTTAAGCTTACCCTAATTCATACCTTCTAATATATACTAATTCAGATCAAGAGCAAATTCAAATTCGAATGAAGACTTTGAAAAACCTTTAATGACAACGAGAATTCGTCAGTTTAATTATGTTTGAAACTAAAAAGCATCATCCACTTGCTTGCAGCTTAAAAACCCTGATGTGAAGACTACAATGGTGGAAAACACTCCAGATGATCCTCGACAGAGGAAGCCAGTTATTTCAAAGGCAAAGGAGGTTTTGAGATGGGAACCAAAGGTCAAACTGCAAGATGGCCTTGCTCTCATGGAGGAAGATTTTCGGAGGAGGCTGTGTATTCCAAAGAAGAACTAAACTTTCATCACAGTTCCCTAGAAGAAATGCTTGATATCAAGCTTACATGGACGTGGACAAAATCTCTCCCATATCATATGCTATTATTTACAGCAAACGTCCTGGGCTTATATTCTATAATAGTCAAGAATACAGAGGAAGATATGATTTTTGAGTGTATTTGGTTTGAAAACATGAAAGAAGATTCTTTCAATAGCAGAATTCTTTGGTTATCTTCACTTTTTGTTCTCTTTGGAAGCAATGCAGATTCGTTAGTTTGAATGAGGAGTTTATTTATCAATCAAGTCATTTAGCATCTATAACACCGCAGAAACATTTTCCCACTTGAATTGGATGGATTCAAGCAAAACAGAGTACTCCAAAACTTTCAGAGCAATATATGACAAAATCAGGGAAGTCTAACCAAATTGGAGAACTGTGGTGAATTGAGTGATGCTGGCTTGTGATTTTGCACTCAAGGCAAGACTAGGATTGTTTTTTTTTTTTTTTTTGAAAGATCTAGATGATAGATGAAGGAATTCAGAATCAGCATATGAGATGAGGAGAGTTATTCATGTTCTTTCTGATCCAGCTAAAACTAAAACATATGTCAAAAACTAGGAAGATCACAATCTCCTCTCGATAGAGAGAGAGAGAAGAATACTCGCAATCTAATTCTAAAGAAATTAAACTCTGGACCTAATTTATAAGTCAAGTCTTACTGGCTTGAACTATTAGATTTTTCTTTCAAGGCTGTAATTGGATCACACAATTTCAAAGCAATTACAATTTTTCACACACCGGCAACACTGCCAACTAAAAAGCAAAAAGGGCCAAGTTGCTATAAGAAAACACCAATTTGGATTGATTATATTATTAGTTACAATGTTTCCAAGTTGCTATATGAAAAACTTAATTTAGGGTTCCAAATTGAGCGATTATATAGACAAAGAATATTTAGTTTCCAACAAATTCCGTTTAAAATTGGATTCTTAAGCCTCTTGAGCCTGAGGTATTCTCTCCTTGTTTTTAACAACCTTCTTGGCTACTACTCCACCAGCTTCTGTTTCTGCTCCTTGTTCAATCCTTGCAAACACTGGTTTGGGTGGAGCCATGACCTGACCACCCTTTAGCCCAACGCACCTTGTCTCGCTCTGCAGTTTAAACAAGAAAAGCAAAGTCAACAAACAATTACTTGAAAATCAGGAAGGTATATGGTAAATAGAGATTCAAGATTCAAAAAAGGCAAGAGAAAGAGACCCAGGCTGCAGTGTTAAACTGGTCCTTCGTGTAGCCTAGCTGTGAATATATTCGCCATGATAAGCCAGGGGTGACTGGAGACAAAGCTATTGCAATAATCCTCACAGCTTCCAGTATAATAACAAGATCCTGCCGCAAAACCAAAAAAGAGAGAAGGATCTTAGAATAACAGGCATGTGGGACTACTACTTGACACACAATTTCTTGTTACCCAATCATGATCAAGAACATCTCTTCTATGCTTATGAGCAACAAGTTTTTCCCTAGCCCTAGGGTGAAAAGAACAAGGTAACAGATGGTAAGTGCAGTGGATTTGAAATCAATGATTGATTGAGAAATGGATATATTTCAAATTTTAGTTATAGTAAATTATATCTATATATATATCGAATTGAATGAACAAAGATATTTAATAAAGAACCTTTTACTGCAGCTTCAGAAGCATCACCTCCTTTCTTAAAAGGAGACCATGGTGCATGCTCATCCATGTACATAGAGCAAGATACAATATGTATCTTTATCCTCATTGATTATGTATCATTATTTTGATAGATGTTGATATCAATTAAATATTATATGCAGTGTACATAGTATCTCAATTTCATTTCTTTGCTTGATCTATTTGATTTGCCTGGGGTTGATTCCAATAAATCTGAAATAATCGAAAGGCAAGTCGTACTCTTATGATTTTCTAATTCCTAAATTTTGGGTTCTTTTCAATATGAATCCTGGCATCAAATCAATGGCAATATTTCCAGCAATAACAATCTCAAGTACAGCCTCACAAGCAGATGATAGCGAGAGGTTTTCATAGTGGACACGAGCTTTTTCCACCTATACAAGTACAAGAACTAAAGAAAATATTATCTTCCATAAGATTCCATTAGCTTTTGAGTGCAAGAAGAACCCAAAAAACCATAGAGCAGATTGGGAGAGGGAAGCAAATAAATTGATTTCAAATGCCTACAAAAGTTGAAAAATATTTACCAGAGGAGATTCTATTCGTATGAGTTAGTTAAGTTGTAAGTAAGATATTGATAATTGGAAACATCAGAATTTCTCAGCTAATTTACTAAATCATTCAACAGTAAATTTGCAAAATGTGTCAAGACCACAATTATATTTAGGAATAAATGTTTATTTCAAAAAAAAATATTTAAGAATATTGAGGTCTCATGCCCGGTAAAAGGGCGAAAATGCTAATCCAAATAATTGAAAAAAATTACATTTTTATGTAAACTCATTCAACTAATTTTTTGTCTAATGATCAGGACAGGAAAGAGCAGAGTAATTTATCTAAGATATAAGTACCCAAAGCATGTATTATCGGCATATGGCAACAGAAATGTCATGGAAATCTTACCAGCTTCTCCACAGTGTCTCTGAAAGGATTTCCTTCAGCTGCACTAGCTGAATCAACCACCAAGGTTGATTGGCAGTTCTTCTTAAGAAGCCTAAGAGTACGATTAAGAATATTTCCTGCATAGAAATGAGTTAACATTGCATGTGTCCATAGAATCAGTAACTATCCATCCAGAACTTTAATAAATCATACCTATTGTATTAGCAAGATGTGCATTGATGATATTAATAAAATGATCTTCCGAATAATCCCCATCATTTCCAAATTCCACCTTCCTGAGGAAGAAATACTTGACTGCATCAGGCCCAAATTTATGAACCAATTCATTTGGTTCAAGTGTATTACCAAGTTATTTCCCCATCTTCATGCCATCCTATAATTTTCGAAATAAAAGTCACTGTTGCAGGAAATAAAATTAGGTATATATGAGAGAAAGAAAATAACGAAACGATCTATTTATTTGCTTAACAATAGCCAAACTGAATTTGCAGGCATTAAGAAAAGATTCCTATTCAAAAAATCATAGTTGCATATCCATACAGTCAAAAATATGAGAAACAACTAGTCAAAATATACTAGCATTTTTATTTTAGATATTAACTTTTACATCCCGACAAGGCAACTTTTGACCTAGGACCTAATATAACCCTATGGGTGACCTATTTGCCACCACGCATAAGAAAAGAAACTAGATTTGTTCTTTTTTGATCGCTTTGCTGACTATAAGGATTATCAGAATGCCTAATGTAAAATATGAAGATGCAGCAACATAGAACTGAATCAATTTTACCATTTAGAACTCACATCAAGTAAACTCTTATGTTCTTCCTATTCAGATCATGTAAATTCAATTACTTCACTCTAATACTTGGTTAGTTCAATACTACTCCTGATTCTCACTCTAATACTGATGATTTTAACTTCTGCAACCAGGGGATCAACATTGGTTATTGCACATCTGTAGGAGGTAATTTGGTAACTTAGAAGAGTAAAAAACAGTTGATAGTGGCTACGTCTTGTGCAAAGGCTGAATACATATGAATGACACAAGGTGCACGTGAATTCACGTGGTATATACCACGTGAATTCTGGAGACTGGCTACCTGATGACTTCAATAAAGATCTAGACAGTAAAAAAAATATGGACTGATTTGCACGATTTGCAAGCGAAATATCTTTGCACAATCTTGAGTGGGAGAATTGCTTATTTACCATCATACTCTATACACACTTCCATAAAACACGAAATCTTTATTTTCCTTCTCTATACCTTTGTTTCCATTAAGATGAAATTGATTGCTTGCTTCTATCTTTGTAACCATGTAAAATTACTTCCATATATAAGTAACTAGTATATGTATGCACAAACAGAATCATAAGAATATAGTGAAAATTTTTTCTCTCCTCTGTCTCTAATAGACTTGATTTTCAAGTAAGTACTGACATACTTCAAAATGGAACTATATGTAAGGTGGGTCATGATTAAATACTTTCGTCAAAAATCGATGGCCAAACACCATCTTAGGAAGGCCTAGTCCAGCAGACATTATCATAGCCAGCCAATAGACGGCATGAAAACATAAAATATACTGCAGAAGAATAAGGATAAGCAAAGAAAAGAACCATCCACGAAAAACACACACCTTTATTAACATTTTCTTGTTGCTGATCGGCCAATGAACCCTAAAATGTGGTCGTTATCATACGCTAACTTCAAATGTTTTTATGGAAATCTGTTGCTAACAAGAACCAATCTCGGTTATGACAATGAAGTAGGGATCTGTTCATCACCTGGCATTTATACGCTCAGACATGCCAACTTATGCAAAAGGTATATTTACAAGAAGCACCATTGGGTTCTAACAAAATAATTTAGCACAAATTAAAGGAATTGTCATAATTGTTCTTATTTTGTATTTTTAAGTTATTAGTTATTAAGGTTTATTAGACATATTATAGTACTGTACCTTGCCAATCAAGGGCAGTGAAGCTGGCCATCCAGAAGAAATGGCATTCTCTAAATTGTGTGGCTCCTTATCCTCTAATAGAGCTATATATAACTGTTTCAAGCAAAAACAGGAGGAAGAAAAACATGTTTGATATAATTATTTGTACAAATTTTGTTAAGCCATCTTAGTAATAGTGGTAACAAATGAACCAAGAAGATACATACATATTCAACAATCAGCTGCTAAATTATGGTAAGTAATATGGCCGTTACATGCAGTGATAAAGAGAACAATACAGTATCTCGAAAAAAACAGTATCCTAACCATAAATTAAACACAGTATTCTAACCATAAATTAAACACACCAAATTAGACATGGAGCTATATGGTTCGAATCGTGCATAAAGAAGCATACCCTAGTAAAGCATCAAACCAAACATATATGGTTTGCTTATTGTCATTAGGAACTGGAATACCCCAATCCACCAAAGCTTGGGAAATGGAAAAAATGATAGCGAAAGGAAATTATAACACAGAATACTAAGAGCATATGCAAACGACTTTAAATTGCTCCAAAAATTAAAGACACTCAATAGAATTAGATTTTTATTGGCCCTTCAGATTACAACCAAAAACTGGACTTATAATGAACATATACAGACAGCAAAAGCGTCAGCTTGAGAATATTACAGCAGTGTACTAGCTGAAACTGTACTAATAACAGCAATAGCACCAAACAAAGAAGCAATCATCAAAAGAATTCTTCAAATAACAACTTTTTTATTTTGATAATGAGTTGGGACAGTTTACCAATTCATTTCACCTTCATTGGTAGGTATCAAGTTTGTTATTAGACACTACCAACAACTACAAACATGTGATATGGCAATCATATATACAAGAAACTTAAAATACCTAAATTGACAGCTGACCTGAAAGATAGTAATGCTCATTCCAAATCATGTATAGGCAGTCTAACAAAATCTTATTTGGAGATTAAAAGAACATTAAACTACCAATCGGAAAAGAATGAAATATAATAAATGAGATGAAAGAATTCAGCAATGTCTCACCTCATTATGAAGAGGGTCTAACAACCAGAGGCTATTCTGTATCGAATAGTTTATCTGCGCCGCCATATTCTGCCACGATTGAAGATATTGCCTACTCTTTTTCTGATCTCCTCCGTTTTTCAATAATAAACGGGAATGCTGTACATTTAAAAAAATAAAAAATAAAAAAATTATAATTTTATTACATTACCAATAATACCCCCCATTCCTATCAACAAAAAATTGGACAAAAGCGTAATTTCATGCCAACACTGCCTGTAAAAGCAGAGTATTAGAGTTTAAATGTTATTTCTCCGAAGCAAGCAAACCGCTGTTTCGCTGCGTTCTTCTTCTCTCTTGCGATCTCTTGCGATCTAAGGTACCGAGTATTCTCCATTCTAATCTCTTTATTATCTTGATACCACCTGCCCATGGTCCTACACCTGTTTATTTTACAAAGAAGTTACTCCGAACTCTAGCAAATTTTATTTATCGTGTCACAAAAACAGAGTCAAAAAGATTTTTTGTCCGTTGTAACAAAACCCAATTGGAAAGAAGAAAGCCGTATCAAAATATTGTTAAGTGCTCGTAATGTCTATCCACGTTTTTGTTATGGTTTTCTGCATTGTTGGAAAAGGTGTCTCTTGTTCTTTCAAAGATGATAATGCATCTCCACTCCTCTATCTGATTATTCGGCTTCTAATCCATGATTGAATTTGTAATTGTGTGGATATATATAGTCATTGCGGGCTACATCGACTGATCTATTGCTAGCAAATCTTAATCTTTTTAACTTGGGTCAAAATTTGTCAGGCACAAAATGGATTCTCAAATTAAGCATGCTGTGGTGGTGAAAGTCATGGGTAGGACAGGATCTCGAGGTCAGGTGACTCAGGTGAGAGTCAAGTTCTTGGATGATCAGAATCGATTCATCACGAGAAACGTCAAGGGACCAGTCAGAGAGGGTGATATTCTCACCCTTCTCGAGTCTGAGAGGGAAGCTAGGAGGTTGCGCTGATGGGTTCTTTTTGCCGTTAATGTTTGCTATTAATCCTAGTTTTGTTTGCTACTGTTTTTTGAGGTTTGTTAGTTAATGCCTTGAGGATTTCTTTGCTAAGACTCGATAGTAACATAGAGATTATACCATTTGGATATTTAAATGTATGACTTTGGTCATATTTCGTTTTCTCCTTAGTATTTCCTTATGCAATTTATGCGAAATTTATGAATTAAAATTTTATTAAAAACGTAAAATTATATATTATAATTTTATAATTTTTTATTCAGTTTGATTTATTGGAGTTTGCTTTATTTGAAATATCTACAATATGCTAAAAAAAAAAATTTATCTTAAAATAAATATATAAGTGACAAAATAAGTAGAGTAACTATAAGCTTGTTTGACTTTATTGGACTCAATCAAACTCTATCAACAAAGTCAACGGTGAGCATAGTCAAACTCATTTTGGTGTTGATTTCGATCAATAGGCTTTTCTAGACCTACTTTAAGCTTAATTAACTTTAATTTAGTTTAAAATTTTATTGATAACAAGTAATAAAATTATTAACAAAAAATACAAATTAAAAATTTGATTTAAAATTTAATTGATTCCTTTTAAAATGGTGTTAATATTATTAAAATAGTAAACAAGTCGGCCTATTTATTTTAATATTTTTATTTAAATTTTTAATTTTGTGATTAAAGTTCATAAACTCTAATTATTTTTAAAAATAGTCTCAAAAAATGCTATCTAAAAGTAATAACTAAGTAACTAATTTATTTTTTTTTTACTAAATGTTCATTTTCTTAGGAGAAAAAAATTAATAAGACGAAAATTTAGTAAAACGTAGACGAATATATGGAAAACTTACTTTTAATCTACAATAATTTTTCATATTATATATAAATTATTAAGAAAAAACTATATTTTATATAATTTTTTTTATAGACCTTGTCCATATACGTTATTAAAAAAAATCACATGATATTTGATTAAAATATTAAGATTACATAATTGATCTTAATATTTGATTAAACTATTATAAAAAGTTACTAAAATCAGCAAATAATAAAGAAAATAACATGTTTTTAAATTTTTAGTGATAAATGCATTTTAAATATTAATGATTTGATAATATATTATGAAGTGAATAGGCAAAATTCAGCATAACTTTTTTGTAAAATAAATAAGAAGTTAATGAATTACATAATACTTCATAAAATGTAGTATTGTTTTTTTTAATCAAAATTTAAAAAGTGGAGTTGATACATATATATATATATATGAAAATCTTTTGAATAAATTATAAGGAGTAAAATTATGGTACCTAAGTTTAGCATATACTCAAGTTTTGTGTGGTAAGAATAAAAAATTATATATTTTTGGGGGAAAAAAGAAATCCATAAAATAAAATAAACTGGAGGAAAGACGGACCCAAAAATAATTGACAAACGCTAGAAGAAGGGCTTGAACCTTCGACCTTGTGGTTAACAGCCACACGCTCTAACCAACTGAGCTACTCCAGCACCCTCATAAAATAAAATCCAAATTTAATATTCTCATTTACACGCAATAATTTGAATAAAAAGATTACTATACGTGTGTTTATCACATATGTAATGCGATATAATAAATCTAAAAAAATTATAATATTTTGATCTTGTGTAGACTTAATTTTAATCTTTTTAGATTATTATCAGGTGAGTAATAAAAGTAAACACGTTTTTAACAATTATTTTATAATGTTCCCCCGTTCCCACCAAAACGAGGAGTTTAAAGTACCAGGATCCGCCGCTCTCGTATAGGAGAAATCACAGCCATTCAAAGGTTTCTAACCAACGTTCCATAATCATCTAAGCGAATCACACAGATCGTCATCCACAGTCGTCAATTTAAATTACGAAATCAACGGCCTAGATTATCCCGCCGAAAGTTCGAAACCTTCATAACTGCACAATAAATACACCCTTCACTCCTCCTATTCAACACCAAAATCAAACACTGAGAAGTGAAATCCCTAAGTCCATCTGTCGCCAAATTACCAGCATATCATTTCAATTTTCCTAATCCGACAATGTCCGGACGTGGAAAGGGAGGCAAGGGGCTCGGCAAGGGAGGAGCAAAGCGTCACCGCAAGGTACTTCGCGATAACATCCAGGGAATCACCAAGCCCGCGATCAGACGTCTGGCTAGAAGAGGTGGAGTTAAGCGAATTAGCGGCCTGATCTACGAGGAGACCAGAGGAGTCCTCAAGATATTCTTGGAAAATGTGATTCGCGACGCAGTGACTTATACAGAGCACGCGAGAAGGAAGACCGTGACAGCCATGGATGTGGTCTATGCTCTGAAGAGACAGGGCAGGACTTTGTACGGGTTTGGTGGTTGATTTCTTCATCTAATTGTCTGTCATTTGTGGTTCTAGCTTTAATTAGTTTTAACCAGGTGATACAATAGGCTTAGATTCATGATATTGCGGTTTAAGTTGTATAAAATGACGACTTTGTTGTGGTTGGATCTCATGCTACTAATCCATATATCAGTGCAAGAAATGTTAATTTGCAACTTGTAAGCTTTTCAGAGTCAATACAGATTTCCGCCTACTGGTTATTTTAAGTTATTTTCGTTTTTTCTTGATAGCTACTTGAGGTTTTAAGTTACTCTTCCATTGTTTTATCTTCTGCAAGTAATTGTTTCGTTCCAATCTTTAGCCTAAATTTATAATCCCTTCGTAGTATGTGTGGGAGTTGCTTCGTTCGTCAATTTTCTTTCCAATTATACTGGTTTACGCTTGAATCAAGTCCTGTTCAGTGTACTTGCAGAATGCATTGCATCAACAATGAATTCTTTAATGACTACCGTTATTGCGGGTTTTCCTCTTTTGCTTTTGGAAAGTTGATTGTATTTCTGATTTATGCTTTCTGTGAGCCACCATTGATTCTTTTTTACAATGCTTGAGTTTTGTTTTGCTTTTAAAAATTATAAAGTCATATATTTTTATAAAAATGATAGCTAATTTTTTACAATTAACACATTATTCAAATATAAAATTATTTATTTTTTAAATAAAAATATATTTCCTTTGAAGAATTTAAACCACAATACTTCACTCTGGCTTTAAACGTTCTTATAATATATATCAGACTGCTTATTCTTTATTTTATTTTAAATTTTGTATATAATATGCCTTTTGTATTACTAAATATAAATATCTAAACCTTATCAATGGGATAAACAATCCAAAATATTCTTCAAAAAATTTTCTATTTTGTATATTTTTAAAATAGTACTTTCAAAATCTAGTACTTAAGTAGATATTTTTTAAATTAAAAAATACCAAAAAGGTTTAGAATAATTGGTTATTCATATTTTTTATTTGTTTCAAATATTTAGTATTTTTTTTTCATTTTATAACAAAAAAGCTAGTTATATATATCATGTGTATATATTTTTAAAAAATAACTTTAATTAATTAATTAATTTATAATAATATTAGACATAGCTTTTTATTGTTATTAATTAGTTAATTTATTTTTAAATTATTTTTGTAAGCATCTAAATATGGTATAATTGTTTAATTTTTTATAATAAAAATTATATATCTAAAATAAATAAAAGATATTAAAAATTAAATTATAATAAAAATATTAAGGTTTAAATTATAATAAGTACTAAATTTTAAATAATAATTTAGCAATTTATCTTAAAAATTAATCTATTATGTTATTAAATTAATTAATTTATTTGTAAAAAGCAGCCTCTTTTAGCTATTTGATTTTAACTTTTATAAAAGTAAAACACGAAAATCGCCCGCCGACGATGTTTTCACTTATCCCCAAAACTAAAAGCAAAAGAACACCACTATCCGCTCTTTTCCTCGAAAATAAATCACAGTCGTTGAAATACTCCTATCAACGGATAAAAATCAATTAAACGACAACACTCGGATCACCATTCTCATCCGTCGATTTAACTTTCAAAATAAACGGCGCCGATTGTCCCGCCCAAATTTCAAAACCCCCTTTACGCCACTATAAATACGTCCTACCTTCTCACGCCAGAACATCAAATCAAACGCTGAGAAGTGAAATCCCTAATTCTCCAATTCCGAGCACCTTTTTTCAATTTTCCAGCGCGAGCTTTCGACAATGTCAGGACGCGGCAAGGGAGGCAAGGGTCTCGGCAAGGGAGGTGCGAAGCGTCACCGTAAGGTCCTCCGCGACAACATCCAGGGGATTACCAAGCCCGCGATCAGACGTCTGGCGAGACGTGGTGGAGTCAAGCGAATTAGCGGTCTGATCTACGAGGAGACCAGAGGCGTCCTGAAGATTTTCTTGGAGAACGTGATCCGCGATGCAGTAACTTATACCGAGCACGCTAGGAGGAAGACCGTGACCGCGATGGACGTTGTCTATGCATTAAAGAGGCAGGGCAGGACTCTGTACGGGTTTGGTGGTTGAGTTCTTTTGAGCTTAATTGCTTCCCCTTTCTGGTTCTCTTTTGTTAGGTTTTCTTTTCTCTTTTTTTACCTTGATGTTGTGATTAGTTTAGATCCATGATCGATCTCGAAAGCAAGTTTGTTGTTTTTGGGTTTTCGTGGTAAAGCATATAGCTTGTAGGCTATTTTATTGTATACAGATCTGAATCAACTGATCATGTGGCTTCTATCATGGAATTGTGGAACTGATTAAACAAAGTGGTCTTCGCTTTCTACTTGGAATTATGTACAGTTCACACAATTTTAGACTCCAATGGATGCTTCAAAAGCTGAATGGATGTTAAGGATTGTGTTGATTCTGTCAGCGTTTCCGTTTCTTGTTATCAACATTTCTTTAACAAAAGCCAGTAGTGAAAAACTTGAGTAACAATTTAAGAAATAGATTGGTGTGCTGAAAATAGGCCTTCAAGCGGATCATTCACGTTCTTGAATATGGTGGAGATGGTTATTTCCCTGCTCTGCATGGTTGTCTCAGCTATGATATCTAGAAGAAGATGATGATGTCAGCTGTTAGGATGATTCAAGGAAGATAGTGAAGCCGTTGAAAGAGTGTAATAAGCTTTTGCAGTTTGCGGAGAGGTTGAATATCATAACTACTAATATTTATAAAAATTTAAACTCAAGTAGACTTCTAAAACATCTGATAATTACTCTAGAAAACTACACGTTTAGATTCAAAACTTTTATCATTAATATTCCACGGCTACAGATTAATCTTAAACCAGGCACACCTTGATGCAAACTTAACATATCTACCATTTATTCGAATAAATGCCAAGATACATTTGTGATTACAAGCTTCTAGAGCCTGAAAAGCTGGAAAGACAACCAGTTGCATAGTTTTACAATGGCCAACCTTACAGCTCAAGAAAGTTTGCTTTTTGCCGGATCGGGAACTTCTTCCAATCCTGTAGAGAACCAGGATGTCCTCTAGGCAAGAGATGTTCTAGATTTGAACCAACAGGAGATATACCACAAAAGTTGAGAAAATTAGGATTAGGTTCCCATGGTGAGGTGTGGGTCTCCTCCGTGAGCTCACCAGCCCATCAATGCCCGCGTAACACTGTCCACAATTTGATTTCTTGCTTTACTGCTTGCTAACGGGAATTCCGGGTTTTCCTCCAGAAGAAGTCTATAGACTTCCCACTGGCCATCTGATGTTGAGTGCCGTACAATTTCAGCCTACAGAATAGGAAGCCTATAGGAGTGAGATCATTAGGGGAAAAGCATGAAATATACCATGCAACAAATGAGTCCACCTGTGAAACCTTACCGAGAAAATGCATATTCCTAACTTCGTTAGAGCCAATGTGACATCATAGAAGACACGGGGTCTTCCCTTACCGGATAACTCAACAGGATTAGCAACCAATAATTCAGTATCCGGGCCTCGATTAGCAATAATCACTCGCAGAGGATGAAGCATCTCTTGTTTCAGACGAGAACACAAAGCAATCTGTTGCTTAGACTCCAAAATCTTCTTTCCATCTGTTTGCTGAATAAACAGATCCATGTTCCGGAACCCTTTCACACTCGAATAGAATCTACCATAAGCGATCTAAATGAGAAACAACAACAGCATTATATCGGTAACTAACAATTTCAAGTGTCCAATCATTTATTGATAGAAACCAGATAAAAATCCATCAGTGAGAAAAGATTATCAATAGAAACTGTGAAACAGATGGATGTTATTTTTTTCCCTCTTTTGCTGGAAAGTAAATAAAATGCCGCTGCAGCTCCACAAAGATCTATCAAGGAACTACGAGTCTTGCAAACACCCCATTCAGGAAAGAAGCTTATGCAACCAAACCCATCTCATAATAGCTAGAAATCTGAAGATACAGATAACAATAATGACAGAATACCTGAATATTGCAATCTTTTGAAGTCCTTAAGATGTCATAAAAGAGTCCTTTCTGATCAACACACTGTATCTGAAGCAAGGTATGACCTGGGCTCAACAAATTGTCGACTGTAACAGTGGCTTTTTTTGGTTTTGTCATGTCCGACTTTAGTGCTTGTGAGCCTGCTTCTTCGTTTAACTGCTCGGGAAAAAACAATTCTTCTGCAATTGCGGGTGGCAGAGAAGAGAAGCCCTGCAAACTTCCATATTCAGGCCCAGCCAACTCAAGTTCGCAACTGATGCACCACTCACCAAAAACAGCAATCAAATGCTGACAGGCCTCATCGTGCCTTTCTTTTGTGTGTAAAAGCTCCCTGAAACGGAAGATGAGTGAAAAACAATGTCAACGCCTGTCCCACCATATTTTGCTTTTCTTCCAAATTTTTCTGATGGAAAAAGAATGACTCTCCTGGAACATGGCTTTGTTGTAGGAAATTGTTTAACAAGGCTAAAAATATAGTTAAAGAGAATTGCACAAGCATGCTGATTGAGCAATAAAAAATGAACTGTAGCACATCTAGCCTTTTCATATCCTAGCAATCTATATGGAAGACGGATGCGCCATTCACATAGCTTTCTTTTGAACTTACAATAATACACACACACACATATATATATGCTTGTGCTTGTTAAGGCTAATCCTTGGCATTTTATCAGGCATTCAGTGGCTCAAGTTCAATCTTTCCTTGAATGACACAATTGACTTTCCACACGATTAACCAATTGCCACAGAGATCCAAGATGTAAGCAAGTGGTATGTAACTAACCAGGCCCTTTTTCGTTGTTTAACAGGAAAAATCATGAGGTGTAGAAAGAGCACAAGTCAAATAAAGACAACATAAGAGTGATTGGTTTATTTTAAATATTTATTTTGTAAATTTCTACCAAAAGTTTGAAATAAACCCAATTATATTTATGTAGTCTTCTAATTCACTTGTGCTCCTCGAGCACCAAATAATTACTCTTTTAACTGTTGGCTACACTCAGAATGAAGTCTTCTCTGTCCAAATCTCAAGGAAATGAAAGGCATTGAAAGCTATGAACAGCATGAGAACAGCAAACATAAAAGAAAATTAACACGTAGCTTCACCCCGTGCAATCTATTAAAGACTAGTATAGATACGAGATCCTCCAAAAATGCTCTTATAAAGGGATCATAACAACCCTGCATGTATGTTCAGCATCTCAAAGCACTTACAAACCTTCCAGCCAAACAGTCTCCTCAGTCTCAGGATTAATCTTCCTAAGCATGATCCAATAATCATAATCGGCATAAATTATGCCATTCTATTTGTCGCCAGGGTCTCTAATGTATATTTTCCAACACTATTCTCCAAGCCATGCATTCGTCTAACACAACATATTCATTTTAGCTAATAAACATTGTTTTTCAAAAGATCTTAGCTAAACAAACATATCATTAAGATGAAAAGGAAGAGAAAGTTTGAAAGGCAGAAGAAAATTCAACACAATTTCAATAAACAATCAAAACTTATCACTGAGAACTACTAGGAAGAAAAGCAAGAAATCATTGGTCATGGAGTAAAAGAATTATGCCAATATCCACCAAGCTCAGAAGATAAATTTCCGAAAAAAAGAACCCGAAAGTAAACAAAGAATTAGCATCTCGACATGGGCAGTGAGTAAAACTCAACAGAATAATTCCACATATTGGTTTGACTATTTGTGAAATTTAAGCTCTAAACAAATGGTCCCTAAGAAAGAATAGCTAACATGCCAAGCAGTAAAAGATTATCAAAAGAACAAGAAGAAAAACTCACCTTCCATCAGTTATGAAGAATAGATCCAACACTCTGCCATCCGGCGTAGTCATAACTTTCACTCTTTGGATTGTAAATTCAAGCTCGGACAGAACCTTTGTCACATCTATCAACCAAAAGAAAACCAACATATCATAACAAAATTCACAAGAAAAAAAATAATGTTTAATAAAATAAGCCGGTATAAAATAGAGAAATTCGAATATTAGACCTCTTGTACTACATTAAAGCTGAGCCGGTTTTCTAGAAACTTATTTAATAAACAAGAGAACTTCAGTAGACATATAAATAATTATAATTTTATTTAATTACCATGAAGCAAGCCTTTTTGGTCGATGCAACACAATTTCAGTAGATATATAGACGGGTGCAAGGTATTATTTGATTGCTGGTTGTAGTAAAAGGAGGCCAAATAAGAAGGGCAAACAGAGAGAAGACGATTCTTCAAGCTTTCCCATTTCACTTTATGCGAGCTGCTATATGGAACAACCCATAACACTATGTAACACCATCTCCCATCTGTGGAAAAATCTGCACCGCACAATAATTTCAACGATTACCCACCAGTCTTCTTCACAAAAGTAAGCAAGAAAGATAAATTAGTTCCAAAACAAGCAGACTTATTTGACTTTCTGAGTGAAAAATGAAAATTAAAACGAAAACTTTCAAAAACCCATAAGGAGAAAGTGCGGAAAACATTAAATCTTCAATATTTTTTAATTTTCCCAAGAATCAAAATGAGAACTTTGGTTAGCAGATTAAAGTAGCTGGCTTACAATGGTACAAGCTGCTATCAAAGCTATGAAACCAGCCTTGTAGACAAGAGAAATCATCGTCGACGACATTCCCAGAAAATAAATCTAATTTACATTATGGATACCTGCTCGGGTAATCGATAGACCGAACTCGAGAACGATTCTGCAGAGATCGCAGCCGAGACCGGGCTTGTCGGGGCAATTGACGGTGACGACGCAGGGTTCACCAGAGACCTTGCTCGGCTGGATTAAAACGGCGTCGTCACAGGAGATGCCCATATCCACGGCGGAACGAAACAAGCAGAGTTTCGTTCGAGAGTCGTCTGTCTGGACGAGGATTCGCGGAAAATCGCCGGAAACGGTTGGTAGTGGTGGCGGCTGCTGTGTACTACTCGCGGTGAGATTAGACAATTTGCCTTCGTGCGGACAGGGTTTTTGAGGCTGTCTGTCGGTCTAGGTGCGGGTCCCACTGGATGCTAGTGTCCACGTAAGCGTGGTTTAGGAACACGTGCTTGTACTCCGGTTGAGGGCCATTTTGGTACTTTCATGCTCGTAAAATGTAAATGTCTGCGGTAAGTTTGCCATTTTATATCTGTTGGTACCATCCAGTTCTTCTTTATATACATTTATTTTTTTAAAAAAAAATTATTTCTAATTTATGTAACATTATATATATGGCAAAATACCTAAAATTATTTGCATCTATTATATAATTTTTTGATAAATTTTACTATAATTTAACGACATATAACTAAATTTATTGTTTATAATAATAATAAGTTTCAACTAAATTATATTAAAAAAAAATAAGTTAAATTTAGTAGGTACCTACACATTTAAATGATAGAAAGTACTATAATTTACACATTATAAAATTATATTAGCAAAAATATGATATAAATACGTAAATAAATATTAATTTAATTCTCAAATAAAGTAACTTAATTATGTTTAGAGTAAATTCATAAATTTAATAACATTCATTTACATTCCTGTTTAATTAAAAAATTATAAAAATTCTTTTAAAAAGATTAAAAAAAATTTTAATTTTCGTAAAACTAACATAATAAATATTCATAAAAATTTAAATCAATATGAAACAGTTAAAAGTAAATTTAATTATATTAAGCTTAGCTAATTAATTCAACTTATCTATAATTTTTATAACATTTTCATTATTTACCTATAATCTTACAAATAAAATATTTTTTATTTATAGAAAATATTTTTATTATATTTTAATTAAAACATGATATATATTAGCATATATCTGTTTTAGAGAATAACCTCTCTACATAACGCATCGTTTAATTTTTTAATAAAGGTATTTGTTATAATATTTTGTACACTACAAATATGTCATTTATAAATAGTATATTCTCAGTATTTAAAAATTATTATGTTTATTAGTATTCGTATAAGTCATAAATTATTTCTTAACAAACTTATGCATTATTCAAAAGATGGTTAGCACTCTTGTCAAGAGTAGGTATTACAAAGCTTGATTCATGAAGAAACATGAGATGAGATAGGTCTCTATGATAAGAAATAATATTAATTGAAAAAAATTGTACCACACCTCAATAGTTCAAAATTTTTTAAAAAATCATTTAGAAATTCAATAAAAATATATTATAAATTAAAGATCGACTAACATATTAAGATATATCACTTAATTTTATTTGATAATAAATTTTGAATTTTTTCATAAGGATGGTAAAATATCATTTATGATTACGTTTTAAAAAATATAATTGAATAGAAATCAATTGATTTATAAT